CTTTTAGATCTATTCATGTTGACTGCTTGCCAAATTACATAAATAGCTGTTTAAATAAGCATCAGGCTACCACATTCTGGGAAGAATCATGTTATTACCATTGGTGCCTATGCACTTACTATTACAAATCCATAGACCTGCAATATACTATCAGACAGCAAAAGACAAATTCATTTACTAGGGCAATATTATGCTGTTGTTCAAACCTTTCCGTTTGCAAATAGTACATCAGAATGTACATCAGGAAAAGCCTACTACGACAGAGGAATGGTACCACAGGCAATGTGTAGGCAGTATGGGGGCAGGGGCTTGTGCCCTCCCCCCCTGAAATTGGCCCTTGCTGGCCAGGGAGTGGGGAGCGCTGGTCTGTTCCCTCCCCAAGAAGCATCGGTGGCACTTCCAGGGTCAGTGATCAGCCACTGGGGGACCCCTTTCCACCGGGGTCAGTGAACAGCAACTGGTCCCCCCTTCCCCCCAAGCCAGGAGGCACCAGTCACCCATGAATGGTACCAACCACAATCTTGTAATTACTAACATTATATTTTGGATTTCCAGGGAGAACAACATTTCCTGGGTGGTCCCCTGTTCTAAACAATTCCATTTGATTCATTAATATTGCTTTTCCTGACAATGAAGTAATGATATTGGGATCAGAAAGTCCTGGGGACAGAGTTCTAGACAGCTTTCAGCCATACAGAGTTCAATATTTATGTCAAATTAACTGCACAACCTCAGTACAAAAAAAAATCCTTTGGAGAAACAAAATATCAAGAGATGAAAGATTCATGCTGTAAAATAAGACCTATGAAAAGCACTGGAATTGCCGTTAAGTATCACTGGGCATGTCTACACAACACACTTTAGTGCACAGTAGACTACTCTACCGAACAGTAAAGTGTCACCATCTATATGTGCATGGAATTTACTACATGGTAAATTAGATTAATGTACAGTTAGCTATTACCTGAAAATACAGTAGTTACTGCTCAGTAGTGCTCTAGTAGATGTTGACTAGGAGCAAATTTCCTCCATGGTCAGCCTTACCAGCAGGGGATCACAGGGAACAGGGGAGTTCTTTGTCCCCAGTCCTGGCCCTGATTAGCTCCCAGATCCTCTCAGAACCCAGGATCAGATCAGCACCAGGATGGGGTCACTCTCTGCCTTCCATTGTACTGGCACTACTCAGCTCCCAAATGCTATGGGGAGCCAGGAACTACACAGTGCCAGGATGGGTGGGAAGGGGGGCGGGGCAGAGAGTGATCCCATCACTGGCGGAGAATCCCTGCCCAGCAGGGGGCTCACCAGCAACTTCCCCAGAAGTGGGACAGCTGCCAGTAAGCCTGTTTGACAGGAAAACACCCTGGGCATGGGGCTCACTAGCAACTGTGTCCCGGTGTGCACAGAGCCAGGAGACCCCTGCCAGCTACAGCAGCAGCTGTCTCCCAGGTCCATGCATATCAGGATCCCTCCAGCTACATCAGCAGCTGTCTCCTGGCGCTGTGTATGTTGGGACTGGCCCCTGTGCCTCTTGCCAGCCCAAGCTAGCACCCTGGGGGAGCATAGAGTTCCCCCTGGCTGCTATAAAGGAGCAGAGCAGGACAGGAGCAGCCCTGTACCAGGCTGCTCCATTTGGGAGCAGAATTGCTCCCAACAGGGAACACATGTAGATGTGCTAATAGGGAAGGTTTACTTCACAGTATCTTAGTGCACAGTAAGCCTATATATCATTAATAGCCCTTGTAGACATGCCCACTGATGCCGTTTCTTGAGACAGTGAAGCTGACTGGAAAATTCAGAGTTCAGGGGTAATGCAGAGAATGGATTTCCCCAAATAACTGTGTTTTACAGTGCAAATGGATGTTCACCTCTACAGTGGTAGTCTTCCACTCCATAGGGCTGGATGCAAGGTGTAAGCCATCTATGGTCTTGATTACCTCCAGCTTGAACCACTATTGGAACAGAATTTAGAGCACATGGGCCAAGGTTTCATCAGTGATATTGCCCACTACTTCAGTAGGGCAATTAATATTAGATTTGCCCTGGGGCCTGAAGGTGGTCATCCTGCTGCAACTGACAGTTCTGAGGGTCAGATTTTCTGTGGGTTTTTATTATTGGGAGGGTGAGGGGATTTGTGATAATCCCAAGATAGCCCCCATTCCTGGGCCTGGAGTGGCTTGTTTCCTTTGTCCTTTCTCTTGGAGCAGTGAGTGAGTCTGTCCTGTGGCCCCCACCATGGAGACACAGTTCCTGTTGGTGGTATTGCTCTTGTCCATTCTGGATAAAGTGATAGTGCCCTTTATGAATCTGCGTGGGTTTGGGAGTAGCAGCAGCAGGATGAAGAATCAGAGAGGGCAGGGGTTATCTTCTTTCCTTCCTCCGCTCCTGGAGACAATAGTTAATTCAGACTGCTGCATCAACAAAGGTACCAAACCTTGAGGGTTCCACCCATGTCAGTTCATGATCTACCTCTTCTCAAAGCACCCAACAGAATGAGTAGAGCTAGGTCACCTTGTTCCAGTAAGTGTCTGCTGAAACAGTAGAAAAGGGATGTATAGGCATCAGCAGTACCCTGGCCTGGCAAAGGTTCCTTCATGCAACTTCTGATGTCTAGGCCTGGTGGGGATCATTAAATATCATGCAGATTTCTTGAAGGAATGTCTCTCAATCCTGGAAAAGAAGGCTTTTATGCTCCACCAGTGGAGAGACCCAATTCAGGGCATCCCCATCAGGAAATTTATGATGAGGCTCATCTGTGCCTGATCCCTAGAGGAGATTGCAGACTGGACTAGAAAAAAAAGGTGGCATTGCATAAGTAACCCCCTGAAGCAGTACCAGCCCCCCATTATATCTTTCAATTAGCAGAAGAGGGACATGGGACTCTGTGAGTGGACAGTGTTCTCCTCGCATAGCTTACATGTCTCCGCATACAAGTGTGGTTATTCTCATCAGACGAAACAAGTGGGTTCAGCTGGTCTGACCTGGCTTTCTGATCTCTCAGAGTTGTGGCATCCATGTGGACAGGTTCAAGGGCACCAACAGGGGATCAGGCTCCATGCCATACGCTCCGCACCAAATTGGTGGTCTGGGCACACGGTCATGCTGGACACTTCCTGTTCCTGCTCAAGAGACTATCTGGGGGAAGTAGTGTCAGCTGACCATGACCAGCCACAGTGACAGGAAATGGTCAGAGGTTTAGGCCTTATGGAAGCTTCAAGACAGCCTTGCTCAGTCTGGGTGGTTAGCTTGCTGGGTGGCAGGCCAGGGTGAGCAGCCATACTGGCCTGGCTGAGTCAACAGATTTGAAGCTGTGGCCTTACGATTAATTAGATTACTTTTTGGTGCATTTAAGATCTGTTCCATTACTTCCGTATTTGTGTCCCATCTAGTGATTGTTACTTTAGAACAGGGGTGAACAACCTGTGGCATACATGAAACAAGTATCATGAGTGCTTGCTTGCTGGGTGTCAAATACAAGCTCAGTAAAGGAAGGCTTGGAACTCAGGCTGCATATAGGAGAGTGGGGGCAGGACACTTCTGGAAGAGGAAGGGGCACCACCAGGAGGAGCCAGATTAACTGTTCCCTGATCCTGCAGACATGAATCCTCTCTTGCCATATACAACTGTGGTGGTTGCAGTTCCAGGACCCAAACTCTATCAGGTATACTCTGATGGACAAGAATCAGAGCAGCACTTGGGAAAGGCATGGGGATTAATTTATACAATGCCTGAAAAGATAGGCCATCACTACTTTAGAACCTTTTTGGGACTTTGTTGAAAAAATGTATATGATGAAATAGTTTTAGAGAAAATACTTTCCCTTTTTGACTACAATTTAAAAATGTTGTCAGTTGATTGTTCCTGATTTATACCAGGGTCAATAAGAACAGGATAAGGCCTATTTTTATATCCAGACTTGAGAGTATGAAAAATAAAGCCATACAAGACAAATTTAAATTTAAATTTCTTGTTTGTGCTTTGTCTATTTTTTCCTTTTATTGATCCTTTTTATTTTATCTTTTTTTTCTTCTTTTTATGACCTTATTTAGATCTTCCATTTTTAGTTTCCCTCTTTTCTTTTTATTGTACCCTTAGAGGCTTGTGCTCTATTTTTTCACAGGTAATATAAGGCTTTCATGTGTGAAGTAAGCGAGTAAGATTTTGGTTATTTATGTCTTTTAAAAGACTCATATGTGATGAAAGACTTGTAATGGGACTTGTACTCTCTGCCTAACTTGTTTGAGAGTATTGAACAGACTTGTAAAACACAAAGTTTTCCTGTTTTCAAGTAACATTTTTGCAGTGTTGAGGAATACTATTAAACTACACTCTATCCAGCACCTTTCACACAAATTGTAACCCTAAACTCTTCATTATTTTATGCTGTTGTAGATCTCTAATTGAACAACTGCAAAGGAAGAGATAAATGAAGGGATATAAGTGAAGGATAAAAGAGACTTTTCCACATGTGGCTTCAAGGCAAAGAGGAACAGGAAATCCATTTAGACAGCATGAACAGTAAAAGCAAAGGCTTTTGTACCAGTGAAAAGGAATCCAGTGGTATATGAGCAGAGAGAGGGAAATAAAACCCAACAAGATTGATTTTATATGTATTCCCAAATAAATGGAAATATGTAGCACATTGAGAAGAAAGGAAAACTGAGCTTAGAGCTGTACTAGAGGTAAGGCTGAAGCAATGTTGCCAACATAACTGTAGGCAGATTTTGAAAAAAAGAAAATAAAGAGAGGGGGGACAACTAGCATTTCATGGTATGTATTTCTTGTTCAAGAGAAGCACTTCTGTTTCTTGAAATATTTTAACAGAAGTATTTTCAGATTAATTTTAGACCAAGGGGTCAGAGGGTGATGAGAGGAATGAATCACTGAAAGTGTAAGAAGCTACTTAAACTGGAGAATCATTGGTGTAAAAGTGGTGGCTAAATAAGGAATGGCAAAAAGTAGTCTCTCACTGCTTTTAACTTCAAGTACTGACATTCTGGGAAAAGACAGCAGAGAGATGAGAATTGAACTCTGTGGGCTGCTAAAATGGAAGTATTGCCAGACAGAGAGAGCAATTTAAGAAGAAGAGGGAGCCGAACCATAAAAAGGGATTGTAAGTATCTGCAGGTGAGCCATGAGGAAAGAATGGTCTGAAGTGTCAAAGATTTTTAAAGCTGTAGAAAATGCAAGGTAAAATGGGATTGCTGACAATATAACAAGATTTGAGAGGCTGCATGAAAAGATAGGAAGCCGACTGGATGGTTAGAAGGAAGGTCCTACAAACTAAAAAAGAAGTGGGGTGACATACTGCAAAATGTGTGGAAGAGAACAATTAATGAGAAACGATATTTGGAGAAACTGGAACTTAACATGAAAAAGTGAATTCCTGTTTCTATAATGGCAGCTATCTAAAGACAGGAGAAGCACATTAAACATTTTGTAATGGAAACAAAACTTGCTAGGACCTTTGGAAAGCAGAAGCTAGGGAACTCAGTAAAACTAAAATGTCATGAATACAATATCTGACAATTATCAGAACCTGACATATACTGATTCCCATTATGTGCAGAAAATTCCATCTCTTCATACTTCATCCAATTTGATTCTTTTCACTGTTCTCCTTTAAAACTGGGGTTCAATTAGGTAGTCTGGCAATAGGATCAATATTACCAATGTCACTGTGGTATTTGATTGAACAAAATCTTGCCTAGCTTATCATTAAAATTGCTGAATTCTTATTGCTAGAACTGAATTAATTCCTGTCTTTCTAATTTGATTACATTTGTGGATTCTCCTTGCATTTTAATTGTCAGTAGTTTTTGCTCTGCCCTTCTGCTCTGAATTGTTAAAACCTAAGAGGATGCTTTGGTTGCACTTTTCATTTTCATAGGTATCTCAATTCATGGCTGCAAACCTGTTTCTTTTCTTTGTCCTCCCCTCCCCTTTCACTAGGAGAATGCTGTGTAGATGGCAATGTCTCATTTACAAGAAGGCCCCAATAAAGAAAGTTAATAGCAGTAGAGCTTAGGTCTCCCAACACTTCTGATTTAAGAAACTCTTTTTACTTTTGGACAATCCTGTCATGATACTATGTGCAACTAAAAAAAAATTCTCATCTGACTGTATTGAAAAATCCATTTTTGTTCTTATTCACAGGATTGCCTACAGATTCCATGAATTGCTTTTGGGTATTAAGATAAACTAAGACATTTAGATGAACTAAGGAGGAAAAAAAGTAAAAAACAGAGGAAACAGAGGAAATATCAAACTGGGTCAGAACACAGGTCCATGTGGGGTCAGGCCAACTCTCAGGATCTCAATATCAAGCTGTTAGACAGGAGGGTGTGGTGTACAATTGCACAGGCACTCATATCACTGATTCAAGCACATACACACCCTAATGATAATGACATGGAAACATACACAATGCACACATATACACACAGGTTAAACACTGACTCGGGTGACAGTGTGTGTGTGTGTTGGTGCTTGTGGTACCTATGCTTGGGGTGCTTGGTAACTAAAGAGCAAGTGACAGAGATCAGGGAAAAAGGCAGTGGGGATGAGGCAATAGCAGTGGCACAGACTGGGGGGAAAGGCAGTGGGATTGAGGCAATAGCAAAGAAACAAAAGTTTGCAGGCAGAGAGGAGCTCAGGATGGTTGGAGTCACAGGAGCATGGGACAGGTGTTGGAGGTGGTGGTGATCCAGAAGCAGGAGAGGGAGAAATGAGACAGAAGTTAGAGGGGTGATGAGCAGAGATTGGAGCAGGGCTGGAACTGTAGTAAAGCAAAACCCAACTCAGGGTTCCAAATAACAGTTTTATTAAATAAACACTGTACTGTACAGCTTGGCTCCCACACACACTCACACAATGTTAGCAGGAGAAAGAGACTCAGTGGAAGGGTTGGAGTCCGGGTAGGGGAATAGAAACAGAGTCCATGTCCTTGGTTGAAGAGAGGATGGGGGTGATAGCTACCTATCCAGGCTGGGAGGGGGTCCTCGATGGCCAGTCGGGGTCTTTCTCCAGCAGGTGTTGTCCAGAAGGGGTCACCGGCAGGGCCTCTGGGTTGATAGGCAGCATGGCGTGAAACAGGTCTGGTCCAGGTGAAGATGTCATCCCAAGGAGTCAGGTCTTCACTACCCCTTTTTATGGGGCAGACTACCTCTGATCTCCTATAGGGAGCGCCTGTCCAGGCAATGTCAGTCCTGTTCCAGAGGGTTCCAGATGTTCATACTGAGCATGTACAGCCTTGGTACAATGGCAGGTTGCCTCATCTTTTGTTTCAGGAATGCGGAGGGTGGTTCCAATGGCTGGGTCATTGGTCTAGGTATTTTCAACGGTATTTTCGATGGTGGGGTGATTTAATAGGGGGTCCTGCTATCATTGTGTTTCACTCATCCATTAACTCTTTAGTTTCAGACACTCAAGGAAAACCAATTTACATAGGAGGGGTAGGTATGAATCATAGTTGTAACATATTGCATAGGGCAGGGGACAAGGTGGAAGCTTGACATTACTTTACAGACACAGGCCTAGATCATACAGTATTAATATGAAACAATAGAAATCAATGCAAAAATGATAGGAATATAATATATAATCATAATACAATATACAATACAATAATACTTTATAATACAATATAACACAGTAAAAATCAATACAAACATAGCAGAACACTATTTACAATATAAAAAAGGAGCTTATTAAAATAATATCATACAAGAACTTAGCTTAGCTTACCTAGTACTACTTGTAATCACTTATACGGGATAGAGAGGTCAGTGAGAAAGTCAGAAATGGTTAGGGGAAGGGGAGGGAATGTATTTTTAAAAAAATTGAAAACAAGAAAAACTGGGGCGGGGGGCACGTTGCTACACATGTATCCAGTATCCAATAATCCAGTATCTTTGTATTGCACAGTGGCAGAGAATAGATTCTGAAGGGAAGTGTGTTTTATGCAGGGCATATTTGTCCCCTTGCTGCCAGTTATAGCTTCTAGAACTGAGAGGAGCTTGCAATAGTTGTGAAACTTGAAGAAATTCAAAAGACACAGAAAATGGAAATAGTATTCAAACCAAAGCTTCCAAGGTTTTGTGTTAGTCTCAGAGATAGTGTGTGTGTGTGTGTGTGTGTGGGGGGGGGGGGGGGTTCTTGTTTGTTTTTTGCCACTGAGTGGTAACAGTAGCTATACTATACCATGAGAGAAGAGCTTTTTTGGCTAAGGACAGACATTCAAAAAGCCTGAGCTTGAATTGATTCAATCTTTGCAGGTTATTCTAACCCACCTAGGTTAAACGGGTTTGCAACCATACAGACATTCCCTCTGGACTGCCTGCAGTGCTTCAGCATAGAAGCCGGAGGGTACTAGAGCAGCCCTCCCTTCCCTTGGACAATGCTGAGCTGAGGGAGGGTGTGGCCCGGTCCTGGCAGGACACTCTGATTAGGAAGGGGCGTAAACCCCTACCCTGGCCTGCACCATCCCAGGCTTTTCCATGCTCACTGCTCTGGGTGGGAGCATTGCCAGATCCTAACCCCCAGGTAGTACTCTGAGGCAAAGGGGGGCGGGAGGGAGGGAGGGAGGGTGCAGTGCATGCATCTGTTGATGATACTGAGCTTTTCAATCTCCCTCTCCCTGCTTCTTCATACTGTCTACAAACCTGACAGGGCTGCAAAACAGCAGGGGGATGATAAAACTAGCAGGGGGCTGATAATAGAGTGTTTATCAGCTCATCAGCAAAACAAAAGTCTCTCTCATGAGTTCAAGCTCTTCTTAAACACCTTTTTCCAAGGAAGGGGTAGAGGGACATTACTAGCTGACCTGTTGATTAGCTCCAAAAACCTCCAAGTAGATACTGCTCTGTCCTCCTGTCCCAATGAAATTGGGGACACACACAGACACCCCTCAGCATTAGCTAGCATACCCCATGCCTAGGGTCAATGGGGCTGTGGTTCATGTTGTGGGAGAGGGAAGGGAGGGAGAGGTTGATCCTTGCTTGAGCAGCAAGGTGGTAGGGGCAGGGGGAAGCCAGGCAAAACTTGCTGTACCTGCAGTCTCCCCTGGAGCTCTGGCTAGGGAGTGGAGGGGTTAACCTGTTCTTTGGAGTAGACAGCCCAGCCCAGGGCTGCAAAGCATCCGGGATGCTGGAGGACTCAGGTTTAATTTAAACCAGGAAGGGGTCTGGGACAGACATTGCATAAACCAGTTTGACCCAAATCAATTAAGTATGATACTACATTCAACCAGGTTTGTCTTAAACCAGTTTCAGCTATTTTGATACTGGTGTATTTGCAATGAACTTATGTTCTGTTACAGGTTTAAGCCAGTTTTTGATCACTTTATTTGATCACGGTTTGTGTGTCATGTCTGTTCCTAGCCTTCCTGATAGAGCTGGATCTCCTTGTCCTCTACATATAAAGGCCTGTTGAATTTTTACCAGCTGAGCATTTTATTACTCCTTTTTCAGATTTAAAAATCTAATTACATTCTATCTGCTACCACTTAGTGATCTCTATACCGATAAGAAGAGTAACACCATTGGCAGAGAGATTAAAATATAAAAACACAACAATTATCTCAAGATATAAAGATAATGGTACTTAGAAAAAAATTAAACTTTTTTTTTCTCATTTGATAGAAAAATTAACAATATTTAAACTCCTTTTAAAAACAGATCATTGTTGAAAGTGCTTAATAATTTAAGAATGTAACATTTTAATTTTAATAGAGACTGACTATATTTTCTTTAAATATTAATTCTTGATATAAAAGACAATTTTTAAAACTAACTTAACCTAAAAGAGTTCTTTTTTCTTACCATAGGATGAAATAAATTTGTATTTTATGGATGTGTCTACACATTGCCATAGTGATGCACTACATCACCATATGGCACACTACAGCAGTATAGTGATCACATAAGTGTACACGTGATCGGCAGCTACTTGACTGTATCAGCACACTCCTCCCATTTTAGCGCACTACTATGTCAAAGTAGCAGCAAAATCTATCCATACACCATGCACACGGTGCAGTACAGTACACGGTTACTTATTTCCAAAAGGAAGTACTGAAGCATGGCACCATAACAACATCACCAAATGGTGGCA